AGATTACGAAACAGGGGAAATCCGATTTATAGCACCTCTGTTTTGGGGGAAGGAAAAAGGGACTCCAGTGGTAAAGAAACTTACCATGTGACTTGGATGGAGGAAAAAGTGTAGATGTAGGGCTTCGAATAGTGAATTTCATGCTGTAGTGTCATGTAGAATAATGGAATGATAATGACAATAATGGTGATAATAGTAATGATAGTAATGATAATGATGATAATAACTGTCATGATATTAATAATAATAATGGTAATAATAGAATATTAATAACAATGTTATTGATATTGATGATAATAGAAATAATAATGAAAACAATGATAATGATGATCATGATAATTACAATATTGATAATAATAATAATAAAGATGATAATGATAATAATAACGAATAGTGTAATGATAGTAATAATATAACAGTAATGATAACTGTAATCATAATAATATTAACAATAATAATAAGCCAAGTACTCCCGCGGCTGTATGGCAGAGAGACACGCGGCCCTAATGGCTCCCGAAGCGCTGATCATTACGCCCATCAGCTAACTAATGGGAGCGAATTAGGACGTAATACCAAGGGCTTTGTGACGAGCCTCGCGCGGGCTGACAGCGGCGCCTCATCCGATGTTTTGTTGTGGTAATGTTTGCACTGATGTTAATATTAGTGCTTATGTTGATGGTGATATGATGTTGATAGTGATACGGTTTTGATACTACTATGATACTGATACTTATATCATACTAATATGATATCAGTACCACTAAAATAATAATGATGCAATACTTATACTAATGTGATATCAATGTAATGCTTGCATATTAATTTCATAACTGTTACAGTAGCATTATAACAAAGTGTTTTCTTTTTACTAATCATTTTCTATGCATATTTTTAACGTTTAAAATGTATGTATGCATTTGAATGTAAACATAATTACCGATTTTTATTAACTCCACTCGTATTCACATTACAAATTCTTGAATGTAACCTCTAAGTCTGTCAGTCAATGAACCGTGCAGCTCTTCCATAATGCCAACTTTGGACTTGGCACTGGTTCTCAAATGACCTTCTACATCTACATCATTTACAGATTTTAGCCATTTCCTTAATTACATAGTAACTAAATCTGGGCAGAATTCTGTGATAAACTTCGAGTCAAGATGGTTTACTTAGCAGCGCATCATGAATAACGACGAGGAGAGGACTTGCTTGTATAAATACACACAGAACAAAGAATACCATTTGGCTCTGCTTTTAAAGTTATTTTTTTCAGCTCGAGTGTTGTTTTTTTAGGTAAAGTATCTCTTTATCAAATTCAAAACATCAGCAGGAGGTTCAGTAAAGGAATAATACTTTAGTCCCTCGTAGGTATTCCGTTTTGAAGAGATAGCAATTCTGATGCGTTCAGTTCGGTTTCCTTGCCAAAAGCCTTTCTTAAGATGATATACCTTCTGTCAGTAACTCAAGAGCTGCGTTCGCAAGTCATGCTGGCGTGGGAGTACTTGGCTCGCTGCAAAGGGCCCGTGCATTAAAAACCGACGGTGCACTTTCCTTCCCTCAGTAACGTCAGCGAGAACATATTTCAACCAAAATGGATTCCTACTCTAACAATACGTGTTTTTTTGACACTTGCAGCTGCCGCGTGCCGTCATGTAGCGCCTCCTTGATTTTTTTGCCTATTGCCTACATGGCTGTTTATGGAGTGTATGCTACATCTCGTAAAGCCTACGCATCCCCTTGCCCCCGCCCCCTCCCCCCGCGCCTACGAGCTGCGTCGTATTCGCGTGCCTCGGGGCCGCCATCTGGGTCACGCCGTCGCGCCTCCACGTGGCGGTGACGGAACAAGCGAGGAATGCTGGACAGAGATGCTTCGCGGATGCTACGGCTGGTAATTTCCTTTTTGACATTTAATCAAGTTGTTAATGTTGATGTCGTGTGCGGCGGCTGAGCGCGCGGGCTCAAAACGCGTCCTCTTAACAATCGATCAATTCGCGGGGCGCGAAAGCACTTTCCTTTCGATGAGAAAATTGCTCGTTTCGTCTCCGCGCGTTCGGTGCGTCCTCCTCCTCCTCCTCCTTTTCTTCCTCCCCCTCCTCCTCCTCCTCCTTTTCTTCTTCTTCCTTCCCCTCGTCCTCCTCGTCCTCCTCCTCCTCCTCCCCTCCTTTTCCTTCTCCTCTCCTCCCCCTCCTCCTCCTCCTCCTCCTCCTCCTCCTCCTCCACTTCCTCCTTTTTCTTCTTCTTCCTCCTTCTCCACCTCCTTCTCCTCCTCCTCCAACTTCCTCCTCTTTCTCCTTTTTCTTCTTCTTCCTCCTTTTCCACTTCCTTCTCCTCCCCCCCCGGCGCAACAGAGACTCCGGCATCGCAAGCCTCATTGCGTAACTTCTTGCGATCTGCGTCGGGCACTTCATCGCTGCCTCTTTGACGCGGGTTCCTTGACCCGAGGCTGGATATTCTCTCTCTCTCTCTCTCTCTCTCTCTTTCTCTCTCTCACTCTCTCTCT